AGAGAGAGAGAGAGAGAGAGAGAGAGAGAGAAAACTTTTTGCATTAGGTTGTTCGGTATAAAACATAGCAGTCGTTAATTTGGCTTCTCAAATCGTGCGACATTTCGTGCTGCTTCTTTAATTCGAGATGTCATCAAAGTTTCTGAAGTCTGGGATCGTTTGCTTGGATATTGTCACTCAGCCTTTTAGTAGGTGAACTGTAGTCTACCACGAAAAATCAGATGATCCACGTGGTGTCCGGATGTGGGTTTTGTCTTGAAGTAACAACGGCGGAGAGAGCTCGTCGTGTAAAGCTGCCATTCTATGAACGTTCTATCAGGAGAAACATTGTGAGCCGTTAATTTGTAAAATTCCGGAAAACTTTTCGAAATAATTCTGGGTGGTGGAAATCGGCTCATATTGTTGGTGTGTGTAACAATATCATGCTCTCCCACCACGGTCAAACGGTTCATAAAACAAACAAAATTCGTAAGTGGCATCCCTTTATACCGAATTGTAACTTATTAACTATCGCAGACGGTGACCTAATTAATGCAGGTGTTATCCGCTAGAATTTTTCCATTTCGTTTAATGTATATTCCTGATTCGGTGATTATTGCTGAAACAATTCAAGAAGATACTAAAAAAAAGATTCGCATTAAGCAACAAGATTGGTGAACAGGGCTAAATGATTCTTTTTACACGGCAAACTTCAGGGTGGGAAAAATGCAGGAATTGCAGTTGGGGGCTCCCCGTATTCGCTCTACGAACCAAAAAATAAATTGTCCCCATGGATTGCCATATTTTTTAGTTCTTAACTCTACAATTGTTCGCATCATGATATGATCACAGAATCGTCTTTTGAGACTTCGTAGGCTCTCGCACCACAGCGGTCGATAAATAAGTTGGCACCTAAGGTCGTAAATGGTAAAGATGTTTCGATGCAAAGCTATGGACCTAAAGAAAGGTCAGATCTCACAGCGTCACGTTTCACGCGCGTTCAAGCGCCAAAAGTATCACTTGGTAGTCATTATAACTGTGTTAGGAAGAGAAGTTTCCTGATAACGCTACTATTGAATTTTTCTTCCTGTACTAATTTAATTTAACCGCTGATTCGTTCTAATGTATAAGGCAATTGGAGTCCATGATTGAAAAGAGCTAGAGCGAGCTCGCGTCTTTAGTGGAGCTGTTAAACTATAGCGCAAAACATTTTTTTACGTTGTGTCATTTCATATCGCCGAAGAGCATTGAACCTTTCACGAAGATTCATAACTACTCTAACAGGAGATTCATTCGCATACTCTCTTGCAACGCGTTCGTCAAAAGCTTAATGCACCTACTTCAAATCTACGTCCCGACGTATCATTCAGGTAGCCACAGTAGATAACCGTTTGCGAACTCAAATGCAGGCCCACAATTACGCAACACCGACTAAAAGCCCCTTGGTTCATTTTTACGTAGCTGACCTTCTAGCGTTTTTCTCCTGTTAGGCGCACCACCTAAATCGGCCCCTGTTCATCATTCAGCATCCTTATATATTCACCAACATAAGTCATACAATCACTTCATAGTAATGATAATATGACAGTACATATTATTATTACTATTTAATGCCATGAATTACTCATCTTGCATATCTATCTATATATGTATTGAGACTGGCAAACTCCGGACGAACGAATTTAGGACCGCGTATACTCAAGCAAGAACATATCGTGATTGTGTCCGTTGGTATGGCAGATAGTGACAACTGTCCTCGTACCATGACCAATCTGCGTTAACTTTCATCTCTGCCTTTAGTACAATACTAATTAATTTCCTTTCGTAACTTTTGCAAAAGTTATAGCACATGGAGCTGAGAAGTGCACAAGGAAGCATGCCACATTATACGAGAACGTCTCTAATTGCACGTTTATCTGTTGTCCTATTTCTCAGAACAAGGTTCTCGTAGCGGTACGGAACTCTTATCCCCTAAAGTGACGCGGCACCGTCTGACTGACTGAGGCGCATCACAAAGGCTATGTGATGGCAGGATAGTTTTTCAATACGGCAGAACGGCAAGTTTATACAAGCGGGTTTTTGCACACCTACATCACTTGGAGACGAGCTCCCTTGATTATACTTTCGCAACAGCGACGCCACGCTACGAGGCATTTAGCTAAAATTTACACATTCCTGGTCCCGAACCTTAGAAGCAAGCCCACCCAACAAATGTGTATATCTGCTTTCACAAATAAAAAGCCGTGACAATAAGAAATCCTGCTTATATTGTACATTAGACGTTGGGCGACTCAACAGTTCAGACTAAGCACCTCATCGAAAGCGCTAAGTATATCATTCCAAAGTATATTGTTCGGACTTATTCTACAAATACGGCAATACATGTAACTCTCACACCTGAATGATTTTAAGATTAAGATGGGACTTTTGAGGACCAACACTTCTTCCATAGATAGACTCATTATTGTCCCTTTGTACAGTGGAAGCGGCTGATTTCAATGAATTCCAAGCAAAGAACAACAATACTCGCACTAATAAGACGTTATTGCACACTGTTGGCATTAATTATACATTCCGCCACAATGTTGCAGAAGTAGCGCCGTAGAATCAACTCAAGTTACCGTTGCAGATTGCACTTAGGTCACAGTATACCTAAATTTTCCACTATGTTGGAGTATACCATTTAAAAGTGTGCAGCATTTGCTTAATTATTTCTGTCATAAGAAGAGTGTGGGATACGACAAAGTATATATAGTCTTAAAAATCAGGAAAAAAAATTATTTTTTTTTTAAATGCGCGGCCTCCATTTGTGTGTCCACTTTTATATCCGCATCCTATATATGCGCTGGTCTTCATACGCGTATGAGCATATTGCCAGCTCCTAAAGGTTGCCGGCATCAAAATGCCTTTGCTTTTTACAACCAGCACTACAACAGACGAATGCGCCTTCTTGACGCAGGCGCCAGTGTGCTTCGGCCTGTTCAATTTTGGTTCGCGTTATCACTTTATTATAGTGACGTCACGTGATGTTGCACCCCGAATGCAGTGCTTCGAAGATTACTCCTGGGAGTGACTTTAGGTTAGCTTGTTGGGATAAGAAACACTTTTTCTGTCAACGACCATCCATTGATTGATTCACTCACCTGGAGAGTGTGGCGAGTCTGCTGCGTTGATGCTGCTGTTGAGAAGGGGCCGTGTCGCCTAACGGCGAGGGGCCACCCCGTTGGTTTGAGCCAAGGCTGCCGGTGCGGACAGCTAAGCCCCCGCCGCCGGCGCTGCTACCGCCGCTAACCGGACCCAGTCCGGGCCCTCCGACACCCCCAACTTCTCCACATTTACCCGATGACACACCTACGCCGGTACCACTGCTTCCTCCACTCACTGTCAAAGAATCGTAAGGAACAGGAACAGATCACAAGAACAAAAAACCAAGAAGTTAAGAATTAGTTTAAGCAGTAAATTAATTATCGTTTCTATCAATTAATAACACAGTAAACATGGTTATTTATGTATAATAAAAGCCTTAGCTCACCATTTTCTCTATACATAGATTTATGCGAGCAAAGGTTTACCTCTTTTACCATTTATGCTATTTGTCAGCTGTTGGGAAATAACAGACGACACAAAAGTCATTTTATTCAGTAAAATTGTTATAGGGTTTTTTCTTTTTTTATGTATAGTTGTAAAGTATTCGCATTGTGTTACGAATTTAATGTCAATTAGATCTATAAAATCAATTTCATCAACAATAACATCACTATGAGCGGAAACTTAGCCGTGGACAACGTAGCTAACCAGTGACCCATATTCGCAAAAAACTTTAAATATGTTTGTAGCATGGCCCTGCGTTGAATAAGCTATAATACAAAACGGGAATTTTGTTCTGTGGTTCTGGGGTGTGTGTGGACCATTGTGGTTGTACAGCACCATCATCTTAAACGCTGAACACCTTTGTTCATCGAAAGCGCCCCTTACCGTTGCCATACAGTGATATCGTAATCAGTTTATTTTCAACAGACCTTCCAAGCAAGGTCTGTTTACGATAAGGTTTTTTAAGGTTGGTCTTAAGAAACAATAAATAAGTAATCTTTGCTACATTGGCCAACGGATACCGAAATATGAAGACGCTTAGCTTCAAGTAGTTCACCTTTTGACCAGCATTCTTTCTGTGCCACAGAAAAGTGATGGTTTAAATTGACATAGGCCAACGAATGTATGAGGCAAGTAAGTACCTAAAACGCGTAAAAGCAACAAGATAGATGATAATATTTTTCCCACCGGTTTTTCTACAGCAAAATGAATGAACTGTGTCATATAAGAAACTTATCTATTCTGGTCAACGTCAATGTAATGAAGCGGGGCCAGCCCACAAGAACCGACTTAAGGTTAAGAACTTTAATTATGATGTGGTTTAGACCAGCCTAAGTTCTGCAACAATTTAGATAAAGCAGCAAGCTATCGACGAAGTCCGTGAAATCAGATATAGTGGATTAAAGATTGACTGTAACTATGGTAGTATTAGGTTAACGCTAGACGTCCAGCGGACATGTACGAACTTGTTCCATTGACTTGAAGTGGCGCCTTGTAGTTAATACTAAGAACTGGGGATCACAGACAGCTCACTGCCTATTTTTGCGTAGCATCGGAATCTTGAATAAATGTCACGGGAGCTCCTCCACTTTAGTCTGGATGTTTTTGCTAGCACGTAAAATACCTTTATTTAAATTCGTCGCGGTCTCTCGATACCTACTTCCGTTTGGTCGAGCTCAACGCATCTATAGTTCTAAAGGCTTATTCTCAACTACTGCTTATTAAATTCAGTAACTATATCATATGAGATACAATAAAAAGTCTGTGAGACTATAGCCTGCAAGGGCGAGTTCTGTATCTGCTACAGGGTTTTCAGCCGATCAAAGCATTGTGGCAACGTTACGAGTCCCTTTGCCAAAAAATAACCACAACAATGATAACTGTTACATCAGCAGACATTTGTCTATCGTTTAGTTCACCGCCTTCACCACAACGTGCCACTCGTCTACAGCGTTAGCTTACTCTGCATGGCTATCTAGTGACCTCGATTTGAGACGGTAAATGAACCGCTTCAGAAAAGCGGATTTACCGATAGCTAGCTCATATTCCAGCGATCGCACCATGTAGCGTTGTCGCAATCGCCAGACAAACCGATCCATCCAGGACTTCGTATAGTTATCACAGTTCGAAAATGTTATAAGAAAACCTTTCATCAACTACACCCGTTATCGTTTTCGTAGAAACGCGCAGCTTTCAGGACAATGATTGTCGGGCTATATTTTAAGCTTATGAATACTGTTTATCGTTGTCGAACAGCTACTTAGGAAACATTCAGCCGTGCTCCTAAAGCAAGTCGCCTTTTTCATCCTCCAAGCCTGTTTGCCCTTTCCACTTTTCGGTCATTCTGTACTGTAGCTGCTGCTGTTCATTCCTGGGCATGTCATGACGTCGGCCCTGTAAACCCAGTGATTGGCGACTGCAATTTCTCTCCAATTTGATTTTCCAAATGCTGAAATTACTGCTGCACTACGGCCGCAGCTCCTGTGTCCGCTGTAACCGTTGCTGTTGTATCACCGGCTGTGGCCAACCCACACCATATCTACTCTGTTGTTACCTTCAGTATTCTATTCGCTCGTTCACCGCCACCGATACGTTTATCCGTCACTATTTATCGTCCGACGAACGACCCGCTCGATGCTGCGGCGCGCACAGAAGCAGCGCAAAATCATTTACAACAACGACGGCCCCAAAAGCAGCCGATTAGTGCCAACCGTTTCGCGCCGCTGCTTTCGCAATAGCAACGCTATCAACACCAGCAGCGACAACAATTAGCAGTAACCGTTCCTTGAGAAAGAACTTCCTGGAACACGCGTGCTTACCCATGCACTGCATGACGCGCGCAGATGGCCCAAAGAAACAAACGTATTCAATTCCTTCGGCTGATAAAATAGCCCCAGCAAAATTAGAATGAAACTGTCAAACTGCGATAGACAGTGAAGTAATGTCACCAGTGAATGGATAGAAAATGGGGCAGATCAGAGCCAAAAAGACGGAAGAGATCTAGTGAGTGCGAGCTCCACAGTCTTCACTGAATACTATAATTGCGAAGCCTAGGCTTAACGTATATTTTCTACAATTACTTTTTTTGTTGAAAAAAGTATCACGATTACTAATAGAACGCACTTATAATGACCCACCTGCCTTAGAAGCGAATTCAAACCCAGGAAGGCGAAGACGCTGTGGCACACAGATATGCGATCACCCGAAACCACTCAGTTTCCTTTTTTCATTCGCTTTTTTCTTCTTCCATTCGAATAATCTTTACTGCTTTTTTTTTTTTTTAATAAATATGTTGCGCTTATAGAGTTTTGTGCTATGAGGTATGCCAATTTGTTCTGTAATGTTGGTGCGCTTCACATAATTAAGATAGTTATCTTTGAACGGGGACTTCATATAGAAATCTGCTAGTCTATAGTTGCATCAGCGAACAATTATTATTATATCTGCTTAAATCTGCTTTATCGCTTACGTAACCAGTAACGTTTCCCTAAAAGCCGAAGACCATGAGCTAACGAGGGAGACATATGAACGACGTCACCACCTAAGTTCGGTTACAACATCATTGGCACCAATGAAGTTCACGTCTTCACTTCAATAACCAAATCGTCATTTTTTCCAGACGACGCAGATTCCATAT